TTTTGTTTTTTATTTTACACAAAACCATTCTCCGAAAAACAATTTAAATAAAATCAAATCAAAATATTTCTCAATTTTGTTTTTTATATGGAGAAATGCGGAAAATCGCGTATGCTAGTGCAGATATTTTTAAAAAAGCGACGGACAACGTCTCTATGTCCGTCGCTTTTTAAAAAAAATGTTTGACCAACATTTTGACCAAAAAGCGACAGACTAAGAGACATTGTCCATCGCTTTCTTAAAATATTTGACCAGATATTTTGACCAAGAAGTGACGGACATAAAGATGTTGTCCGTCGCTAATTTAAAAAATAATTAAACAATTAAAATTAATAAAAGCTACGGACGGCGTGACTTTTTTTAAATTAATAAATAATTATTTTTAATAAAAAGCGACGGATTGCGTCACTATCTATATAAAATAATTAATTAGCAAAAATTCGCGGAAAAAAAGTGACGGACTAAGCGATGCCGTCCGTTGCTTTTAAAAATAATTTAATTAAAAAGCGACAGACTAAGAGACGTTGTCCGTCGCTTTTTAAAAATGTTTGACTAGATATTTTGACCAAAAAGCGACGGACTAAGAGATGCCGTCCGTCGCTTTTTTTAAAAACTAATTAATAAAATAAAATAAATTAAAACGACAGACAGCGTGGTTATTGTTTAATTTATAAATAATTATTTTTAATAAAAAGCGACGGACTAAGAGATGCAGTCCGTCGCTTTTTGTAAAATAATTTTTAAAATAATTATTTTAATTAAAAAACGATGGACGACATCTCTTAGTCCATCGCTTTTTTGGAGCGACGCTGTCCGTCGTTTTTTAGCAGTTTTTTAGTAGTGCGAGACAAGTCAGCCTAAAACCCCACAATAGGAAAGACATGGAGAAATAAATTGATAATAACAAAAACACAGAAAAACTCAGTCATTCTAAAATACCCCTAAAACTTGATTGTCATGTGTGCAAACCACTAGTGTAATAATATAGAATTAGAAATATAAATACAAGTCTCAATGTCTTTGTATCTCGAGTAGAAAAAATATAAGTAAGGAACAAGAGGGCTCGACGGGATGACAAGAAGCTACCTCTCAAGTGTCCATAAAAAAGCCTCAGATATAAATAGAAGAAGAGCAATGACACAAATTCGGGCTCGGAACCTACACAAGTGTAGAAGCAAGGAGTGAGTACCAAACAACACGGTACTCAGCAAGTAACCCACAAAAATAAGGAAAAACTAGCTAGAAAACGAGAATCCTTTCATCCCAACCGAACTGCCACAACTAAAATCTGCATAGAAATCAACCCAATCGAATCGTTCACAATAAGCGGTTCACAAGGTTTCATAGTCACAGTTGAACAGTTACATTTCATTAATTCACACGAATCGAGATTATCACTTACAATAGTCAAGTTCAATATTGGATCAGTAGTAGATAATTTATTGAAAGAAATAATTGAAATACATATTTGGTAGGCAATCCCTTTGATCTTGGAGCTATAATGTATGTTGGCTACTTGTAATACAAAATAAGTTTGAATACAATTTAAAAATTGTGATTAAAAGTTGTTATTTTTTAAATACAAATTGTGATTGTTACTTTAATTAAAATTTTGTATGTTTTGATGAATGTGATACAAATTTTGATTGAATATATTAAAGTTTCAAATCAGAGAATGAGTGAATGTTTTGAATTTTTTTTATGTTGGCGGCTTGGAATGCAAAAGAATTTGAAATACAATTTATTTGATGTTCTACAAGTTAAACATAACATATTATATTTTTGAAAGACAAAATAGATAAGAAATACATTTTTTGTAGAATACAAATTGTGATTTCTTATCTAATTGTAAATTTGTATGTTTTGATGATTGGAATAGAATTTTTGTTGGAATACAATTTAGTTATGGGGAGCATTAGTTTCTGATCATGCATTCTGAATGATGGAACGAAAATAACTGTTATATCGATTACTGATGAGTGGTGGACTTGCACTTATTTGAGGCTCTTTTCTTATGATTTTGTGGCACTCAAGTAGTGAAAGAGGCTAATTACCCTTTGAATTGTGTTAATTATAGGTGTTTTGTTGCTGGAAGGAAAATGATGAATAAAAGTAGAAAAAAAGTTGAACCTGGCAAAAATTGAGCCCAGATGTAGCACCTACGGAGGAGAGTTTGGTTTTGCAAACAGTCAACTTGCAGTCAAAGGTCGCTTAAGCGACCACACAAGACTCACTTTTATGAACTGGCTAAAATTGGCGGAGTTCACTCTTGGAAGTGCCGCTTTTGCGAAGCCTGCCTAAATAGTAAAGGGCAGAAATGAAATTTCATAAGCATGAGATCCAAATTCACACAAAGGGGCTGGATAGAAACATTATTGAAGAATTCATTCCATATCAGAATCTTTTGAAGAGAGCTTTATCATTTTTAACTTGGACCAAGGAAGAATCCTAATTTGTAGATCTTAATTTTGAGTTGAGATATTGAAGGCAAGTTGCCTCACAATTCACTTTTGTCTTTGAAGATTGTGTTCTTGATAGTAAAATATATTTTCCCTTCATCATTTCCTTGTTTTGCATTGCTAGAATTGTGGGTGTAATTGTGTGTATGAAATTGCGGCTTTTGTGCTAGAAATAGACAAAGCTAGTTGGGTATTTAATTTATTGTTCTATTTTGTAATTCCTTGATTCCATATCTAATTTTATGAAATGAGTTCAATCTAGTTCTCATGTTGTAAACTATGATTTGAGAGTGCATGCATAAGTCTAACTTCCGATCTTTGTGGGTTGCTCGAAGGATAATTCGTAAAGTGGATAATTAGGTTAATAATCATATTTGGCTTTGAGTCCTAAATTTGAGACCGAAAAGAGATAATTTAGGATTACTTTGTTGAATGCTAAACTTGCTAGAAATAGGAGTTTAGATTAAGGTCTTAGATTGCTTTGTTGTTGACTTGATTGAGACCAAAAGGAAATATCGTGATATAATCCTTTGAGATCAAAAGGAGATTAGGTTCGATTGATGATGATATAGCCTACCTATGATTGAATAAGAATGTGTTGTATTGCAATGGATCATTGAGTGTGGATTAAATTCCAAAATTTCCCAAACCCATATATCCCTTGCTTGATAGCGTCTTTGCCCAAAACTTTTAATTACTTACCAAAATCGCTCTTGATATTTATAATAGTGTATTCTTAAGTCTAGGTTTAAACTCACATCTATATATTCTTTATCTTTTCAAGTATCGATAAATTGTTCCTTGTGGGATACGACTCCGACTCTTAGTTGGGTATTTTTATTGATGATGATTGCTTACTCTTCGAACTTGTTTTGAGGGTAATTTGAGCGCTATCAATTACACAATAAAGGCTATTATGATGAAAGAGTATGCAATCTATAGAAATTTATTAGAGGAAGTTGCTAAACAAATTGATATTGATTTGAGATACAATTGTATGAAGCTGAAGTATAAGATAGAAGGTAGCAATGCACGTTTCGAAATACACAATGAGATGAGTGGAATACATAAACAAGAGAACAAGATTTTAAAGTGAGCGTGAAATACAAAGTGAGAATGAAATACAAATCTTGTTGGCATACATTTAAAATAAATACAAACTATAAAGAAGAGTTCGGAGCCAAAAGGGCAATTTTTTTCTTTCAAAAAACTAAAATGGCACATCAAAAAAAAAATTAACCAAAAGGGAAATTTTCTTCTGACAAAATTTGACGTCGATCGTTAAAAAAAATAAAAATCGCTGCCTTTTTGGTTAACAATAGGCATGAATAGGGATTTTTATATTATTAATAATTAACAATAGGCATGAATAGGCATTTTTATATATTATTAATAATTAACAATAGGCATGAAAATAATAGCACTAGGCATGAAAAACGCTGCCCCTGCAACGATGTTTAAGGAAAAAAAATTCGACTTAAAATCGCTGCCACAACAGTGATTTTTAATTTTAAAAAAAAGAAAAAAAGTTTTTGGAAAAAATCACTGCTTTAATAAAAAAAAAAAAGTTTTTGGACAATTAAAAAAAAAGAAACAAAGTTTTTGGACAAAATCGCAGCGATTTTTAGTCATTGTGTCAGAGGAAAATCGCTTCGTCAGAAGCAATTTTCTCCCTTTTGGTTTTAAAAAAACTTGATGTGCCCTTTTGAAATTTTTGACAATTTTTTTTGCCCTTCTGGCTCCGGACTCCTATAAAGAAATACAAATTGGAATGAATATAATTTGAGAAAGGATATAATTAATGGATACATATATGCTATAAAGAAATACAAATTCA